GCTTCTTCTTCCGCCATGGCCGCCCTCGTAGCTGCCTCTGCCATCGACGTCATTCTCTGTAGGAATGCCTCCTGGATAGTAGATTGTTCAGCTTGACCTTCCATTGCATGGGCACTGCTCATCCCACATAGGAAAATCACAGCCAGTAATTGCCTTCGGGTACTCATTCTTAGTCTTCGGGTTTTCCTTCACTCCAACCGACATTAAAACCTTCTGCCATAGCTCAAGTGGCTCATGCCTGCACGTAGATACCAAACCAGACATACCATTGCAGTTACTGTGGAGGCCAAAACAGCCAGCTGCATCACCGTACATCCTGCCAGGAAACAAACTGCTGCATGTACCATGCTCCATGTAACTGCCATCAGTCTGATCATGTTCTGGAAGAACTGCAAACCGATCATTGATGTTGTCACCACGTTGAACTTGTTCTCGATGGTTGCAAACCTTGTCCAGTTGAAATCAAATTCACCCAGCTCTGCATCTCCGCCAACGTCCATGGTCAAGATTCCTTGTGAACAACTCTTGAAACTTTGCATCACCTGAAGACCATTGAAATCCTCTGCACTGCACGGTCCAGTACTGAGTTCAGATGTTTGGCACTGCAAATCACTACCAGTCATACCAAAGAAGCTCATGTCACACGCACTGCAAATCGATTGTAATGCTGAGAAAATGCTTGCTCCCCATAGGCTCAAACTGTCGATCTTGCCAGAACCGCTCTGAAAAAGGTCATAGTTGTTGATCAAGCCAGAACTGCACTGAAAGTGGAACTTGCCAGCACTGCTCTGAAAATTGTTCACGCCGTGGAAATTGCCAGAATTGCCATGGAAGTGGTTACCGCACTCATGAAAAATGATATCTTCATGCACTTGCCAACCATGAAAAACTGCTCTGTCGTGATTGCCAGAATCGCACTGAAAATGGATTCCAAAGTTTGTCCAGCGTCCATGATTACCAACTGCCGCTGTGTCACATGGAAAACTCACCGCATCAGTGTTGCATTCTTCTGGGCTCCAAGCGCCACATCTGGTTTCCAGGTTGACATCGCATCTGCTGTCTGTTGCTGCATGCATAAACTCACACACAGCTGCGTTGGGCTCAAAACATTCCATCCAAGGTTTTGTTTTCACTGCTAACCTTCCATCCCATAGGCTATGGACACCCGGCCACATGCACATGTTGTATGAGACCAACATAGCAACGCCTCTAAGTCCAGTTGACAGTCCCTGCTGTCCATCCAAATCAGTTTTCAAAAACTCAGACATGGATTTCGAATTTCCCTGCGGGCCTTGTCGTTCTTGTCCATGGATTCCACCAGCTGCTACCGAGAGAAGCAGCACTAGGCACCGCAACGCCATGTAGGATCCCCTGGTATTTACCAAGGCTCCCGCTGCCATCTGAAAAACAGGCAACGTGCTCACACCTCAGATTTTCCACTGCACTTTGAGCCACTTGTTGGGCCACGAGCAAGCACAGATTTGTGCGTGTCATCCTTGCACCAAGAGACAGGTCATGCTAATCTTCTCTGTTTCGTTTCAACTGCCTACAACCTAACACATGGGTGTGAGTGCCATGACTGAACTTTGACAAAGTAGCAGGATCGATTCGTGACATACTTTACCTCATATCACCAAGCACCATGTAGAGAATGAAATGGCCGTCCCCACAAATTCAAACTTGTACACAAACTTCGCCAAGCAACGCAACACTAGTTGGAAAAACTTCAGGTTGAATTCAACCTCGCTATGGGTTAGGCACACAAAGATGAGATCGAAGGTAGCTTCACTGCCCCGGGCTCGTGCCAGGGCTCCGTTACCATGCGAAGCAAATCGGTCTTTTCCTCATCCAAAAGAGCTTTTGGCACATATTACATATTCGATTGTGCGTGTCATCCTTGTACAGGGGTCACTTCATGACATGGTCTGCACATGCAAAAGGCTGACATGAGTGTGGAATGCAATTGTTCGCACAATTGAGGCGCGCAGGTCCTTTTTGATGAGAAACTTGCTGCCTCTGTGGCACCATGCTCGTTCGTCCATCTTTGACGATGATGTGGTACAAACCCCAACAACTCCAAGGGGATCACTTACAACCAGAGCTCATCCACGTTGACGGCTTGATGTTTGTTGGGGACACAATGCTCTGGAACAACTACCAGAGAATGTGGGCATCAAACTTGATACTGCAAACCCAATATGGAGTTGGGCTGCGAGACATGCAGCTTGGTTGTTGAACAGGTTCAAGCCCGTGAGAGGAGTTACAGCATATGAACTCACCCATGGTTGACCCTATCGAGGGTTATTTGCTTTGTTTGGGGAGCCCTGCTTTGCATTTGTCAAGTCAGCCCGCAAAGGAGAACGCAAATGGTACAAAATTCTGTTCATTGGGGAGGCTGAGAACCAAGATGCCTTCATCTGCTTCGATGGGAAGAAGATCCTATTGAGCAAGTCCATAAGACGAATCGGACAGCACTGGGACTTGAGGCTAGGCCTGTACAAGGATTTCAGCTGCCCTTCCTACGGAGCGAGCGCGAGGCAGTTGCACTTCCTACAGCTGACAGCTTGATGCCTTTGGAGGCCATCGTCATCAAGAAAAGGGGTTATGAGGCAGAGACAGTGGCGAAGAAGGCGATTGAAGAAGGACGAGAGGAGAATGAACTTGAGAGCATGAAAGCGCATGATGATACAAAGAAAGCTTCAATGGTCTTGCTGGAGGATGATGAGGTGGTTCTATCATCAGCCGCTGACGTCTTTCCGGGACAAGCTGAAGCTCATTCAGTCCCACTTCCAGCTGTACTTCCTCAACAAGCCCAAGTGGTGGATTCTACAACTTCATCAACTTCGTCGAGGCCAGTTGCTCAACATCATGGTGGAGAAGTTCAACCTGAACAAGTACGACCTGGGCAAGGAGAAGTAGTGGTGGACGACAACAACCCTCTTGCAGCACTACACGGAACAGAAGGGTTGAGGGTCAGATTTTCAGATCAACCTCAAGGAGCTCACTCTACTTTGCCAGGAGGATCAACGAGCAGGAATCCAGCATCTACAAGACCGACAAGCTCTACACCTGTGGACCTTTGCATCTTCTCCAATCACTGGTCATCATGCTGGCTATGCTGAATTTCTTCATCCTCTTCGTGCAACAGTACATGTGAATAATCATATCTTCTGATCCTTGTCCCCTCCAACATACATCACCTCAATACGTAGGTCTGGATGTTCACCTTACCAATGTGTCCCAGCTTCAGACCCTCGTCCACGTTGATGAAAAAGCTGCGCAGCTGCGCTGTGCCCTTTGTGTTCTCATGCCAAGCACCCGGCCAAGCTAACTTTCGTCCCTTATACCTGCGCTTCAAGTACTTGCGTAGCTGTGTAGCTGTGTTCGATCGATCGATATATCCATGCTTGTAGCTGTTTATTTCTGTAAATGTATGTTTGTTCATCTAGCTAGCCATATGATATGTCATATCTCTTTGTCGTTTCGTGTGCGGGTGCTTCAGAATATCGGCTGGCTTTATGGAGGCTTCGAAAGGCAGGTGGAAACAAAGCGCAGGTGTCATATTGTAAGAGATACATCCGGAACATACCCCACATGCATTGTCTTGTCCAATCTTACAACCATCGAAGAGACAAGACCTTGGTGTATCCAAGGGGGTGCAGGGCGTCCCGTGATTTGCAGCGGTGGTTTGTACAACGGCATGTGGAACCAGTTTATGACCGACTCGCATATGCCGGTTTCCTGTACGAAAAAAAACCATAGAGTAAATTCCCAGCAGCACCACTTGTTGGGTTTCAATTTCTGGGTCTGGGGCGATGCGCCGTTTCTTATCAACCCGGAAATCCGGAACGCAACCGGAACTGGAGTGTTGGAGCCTTGGAGCCTTCGAACCCTCTTCGAACCCGTACTGCTGGGGTTCCAAAGTGGGTAAACATCATAGTTGTAATAAGTTATTGCCGTTTCCCGAAGCAAAAACAACAGTTGCCATGCGCCAGCTCCCCGGTGACGGCAAAAAAATAAGGTTGCAGTTGCCGCGCACGGTCCTCCCAATTGACATTCATTTTCCTTTGGTAGAGTTCTTCCTCTTTCCTGCTTCTTCTTTCTGTGTTCGCTCCTTTTCACTTCCCTTTCCATTTTTTTTGGGGAAAGCAGGAGTTGATAGGAAGGAATGGGACAAATTGCATTCCGCAAAAATATTTAAAAACGAACGTGGGGTCTGAGAGTTTCCAACGAGTTTGCCTCAAGCAATGTCATAAAATTCATTAAAACAAAATATGTTTTTCAGGGAAACCGTTCCCTGTGTTGGAGCTGCGTTTTGAAAACGGGTTGATTGATGTTTTTACTGCTTTCCGCATCGACCCACGCTGTTGCTACAGCAATATTGGTATGCTTCACCCTCACATTGTGGTGATGCGTGCACGGCACAGATTGCAACCCAATCGGATGGAAACAATTTTGTACCAATTGCACCATGGTTTATGCTGGCCGGCCGTCATTTATTGAATTCCTTTCGAATTGCATTGAATCTTCCGGTGAATTTGTTTGCACGTTTTTTGATGAGAAACCTTTGCAAATAGACATGCGCAATATTTTTCCGAAACCATTTGTCTAACATACCATGCGTGGTCGGACAAATGCTGTCTTGGAACAAGCTGTTTTGATTTGGTGGTTGTGTCCACGGGTGATTGGGAGAAACCACCCATATGTGACCCGTCAGGCAGTGACAGGACGCGACAAAATTTGCACATCGTGAGCGATTTTTTTGATTGGATTGGATCAGAACCAGACATGCTTTGGCCAACTACTTAACAACATCCTTTTCATGTGAACATGCTTACTGGGTGCTCCGAATTAGCTACGTTCTCTATGTGGAAGGTTGTCTTTCCGCTAGCCGGCTAGCCCTTGAAGGCCCCACATGTTCTGACGAACCTTCTTTCAACTTGTCCCTGACTAAACTCAGAACGAGTGAGTCCACCGAGTCGAGCGTGGACGCGCAGAATTGCGGATCAAGAACCCCAGAAAAGAGTGGGGTGTGGCGCACTCGCCATGCCGAAGTGGGTGTATAATTTCGGAGCAGGCGTCATGGAATGATATGGAATGGATTCAAGTTAGATTTATGGCCTTTGGCAAGAGGCTTTTGTAATTGTAAACATGTGTGGAAATTACGATTGTAGATTTGGCCCGTTTATTGCTCAGCAAACCCAGTATGCAGGAATGTTGATCATACCATGTGGCAGTCACGCAAGCGTGGTTTTCTCAGTTGATCAATGGAAAAGTTTCCATGGGTTTGGTCGCTTTGGGTTTCCAGTTTGGACATATAGATTTCCATCCCAATCACCCCTGGGCACAGATTATGTGGACATATCGTGTTGCACCATGCAACTCGCAAACCACAGGAACCTTGGAGTTTTCTTTTTCAGCGGTGCAGGTGAAGCAGAAGGGCATGCGGAACTCCAAGGAAAGCAAGAAGAATTGCTGGGAAACAAAGGTGCCAACTTGGCCGAGATGGCTTCGATTGGACTTCCGGTGCCACCAGGATTCACTTTGACCACTGAGGCGCATTGCGTGATGCATCCGGGACTTTCCTGGGAAAAATTCGCAACCACTGACCGTCACTGACCACCCCAGCGACCTTAAGAAAGTTGCCCCAAGCTGGCCCTTTTGCTGCTTGTGCAACTGTGTCGAACTGGGTCGAACTGTGTGCAGGTGTGCTCTCACTTTGTGGACTCGGGGTCATATCCAGAAGGCCTCAAAGAGCAGGTGCAGAAATCGCTGCAGACCTTAGAGTTGCTCGGGGGAAATTTGGACATCACTCTTTGGCCCACCATTTCTTGCCTTGACAACCTGATCAACTTGAAATCAAACTGTGACATGTTTCAGCGTTGTAATTTTCCTGCGCCTGGCATCGAGATGTGCCAGTGTCTATGGTTTGTTTCGTTGAACATCTGACTTGAGGTCGAGAGCCGGCTGCAAATTTGGAGACTCTGAGAACCCACTTTTGGTTGCAGTGAGGGCCGGCGGGAGGGCAAGCATGCCTGGCATGATGGACACGGTGTTGAATGTCGGTCTGAATGCAAAGACGGTAGAGGCTCACCGGGTGAAGAAAAATGACAATCAACATTACGTGTGTGAAACCGTGTGTGCATATATAATTATATATATATACAATATAAAAGTATATATAAATAAATAAATTAATTAATTAAATAAATAAATAAATAAATAAATTAATTAAATAAATAAATAAATATAATACGTACTACGTACACAAGGCTTTTGCTGAAATCCAGTTTCATTTCCATCGTTTTCCCAAGTCGAAATCCATAACTAGCCTTTTTACCTCCGGCTTTATGAGGCCTTGGCCGAAAAAAGTGGAGATGAACGATTTGCCTACGACAGCTATAGACGCTTCATTCAGATGTATGCAGATGTTGTGCTGGGCATCGATTCGAGCCATTTTGAGAAGATGTTGCGACGAGCGAAGCAAAAACGAGGAGTCAATGAGGACTGGACTTTGTTTCTGATTCTGGTGTACCCTGGTGTATCCTCTTAAATGCAACCAACTTCTTGATGAATACCAAGTTGAAGTGAGAGATACTCTTCTGATCTTTTTTTCAAACATCAATTTTGTGCTGAACTGTTGAATTTGTAGAGTTTTTCCATAGCTTTCCACTTCGTTCCACAGGACCATGAGCTTGGAGTGGAAGACTTGGAGCTGAGGACTCAGAGATTCTAAGTATTTGACCGGCTTTTTCGGTATATTCCCAGATCAATAAAGGATATTGAACAATGGACACGTATGTATATTTATGTAATTCACCCCGCTTCGCGTGGGGTGGCCGCCCACACCGCAAGTTTATTTCGGTCCGTGAGAGGGGCTAAGGGTGGTTTTCCCCCGTGAGGGCTCCCCAAGCTAAGAATTTTCACTTTCCCCCCCCAGCTAAAGCTGATATAGCGACTGCTATATTAACAAATGTCATTGAGCATTTAGTGTTGCTGTTGCCCCCCAATAAGCACGCCGTGCTTTACACTTTTGTCGCCAGAAAACCGGTCGAAAACATCATGTTCGACAATGCTTCCAATTCCCTTATCTCCCCAACCGTTGAAAATACCGCTGTTTACAGTGTTTTCTCCAATTTTTCCATGTTCCAATGCCGGTAGCCAAGTCCAACATATATATAAGAAATCCTTGCAAAACATTGTGTTTGACAGTGTTTTTCCAATGTTTCCAGTCAAACAGACGGTAATTTACACGTTTTTTGCCATAAAGGCAGTAAATCCTTCCAAAACATTGCTTTTGACAGTGTTTTTGTAATGTTTCCAGTCAAACATACGGTAATTTACACGTTTTTTGCTATAACGTCAGTCCAAAACACTTGTTTTTGCAGTGTTTGCAATGCTCTGGCATCCAAAAACCTTGCAAAATCTTACTATGTACAATGTTTTTTTCATTTTTGGCCGTTTTTCCATTGCCGGAAAGCTACCAAAATGACCCAAAATTCCGTTTCAATACCCTCTTGGGCTCAGACACCCAAAAATCATCGAAAAATGTCGAAAACACAACCGTATTCTGGTCTCGGTGCGAAACCGTTTTTGGGCCCCCCCCCCAGCTAAAGCTGATATAGCGACTGCTATATTAACAAATGTCATTGAGCATTTAGTGTTGCTGTGTGCACCCCAATAAGCACGCCTTCACCGCCAAAGCGGTGTGGGCGGATTTATGTATACTATTTGTGTGCTTGAGATAAGCCTAAGTTGACCTTGTTGTCGTGAACTTTTTTCCGGCTCTTGGATCGGACAGCTGCGAGACTGGCACTTCTAAGGCGGCTAGTGCGAGACTACAAGACAAAGGTATTTGTGGAGCTTGGCGCGGAGTTTCCCACAGACCCTCAGGCATGGCGAATCATGGGGCATTTTGGTCTGCAGAAGAAGTGTGTTGCATTTTTCCCGCAGGTTTGCTGACTTTTTTTCTCCCTCTCCCCCGCATAGTTCCGATGACTTCTCTTTGCGCTCAGTGCAGGTTCAGCTTTGGGGTGCCATTGGCGCTGTTTTCAAGAGCTGCAGCTCATCCAGAGCCAAGACCTACCGAGAACTCCATGACATTTCGGAGGATGCGGGAAGCGCCGCCGCCACCGTCCAAGCGATGGTTTTTGGCAACGGGTCAGGTCCAGACAGCGCGTCAGGTGTGGCCTTTACCCGGAATCCCTCCAGTGGAGACAACCATTTCTACGGAGAGTTTCTTCTGAATGCGCAGGGTGAAGATCTGGTGGGGGGAATCCGAACTCCAGCTGAGCTAACTATGCAAGCCCGACTGGCTCATGGAAACACCCTCCCGTCTTTGGAAGAGAGGATGCCCAAAGTCTTCAGAGAACTTGTGGCAGTCCGTGAGCAGTTGGAGAAGCATTACAAGGACATTCACGAAAACGTACTTCCATTTTACTTGCTTCACTTTGTTGCCGCGGATTCTTCACTGCCAACGGAACATTCACCACACTTTGAATGTTAATGCTGCACTGACAGGACGTCCAGGATATCGAGTTCACCATTCAGAAGGGTAAGCTCTACATGCTTCAGACTCGTGCAGGGAAACGTACCACACATGCAGCTATCCAGATCGCTGTTGACATGACCAACGAAGGCCTGCTATCAGAAATTCAGCTATGAAAAGGTTCCTGACTCGGACGTTGCAACTGACTCGGGTGACTGTGTCCCTATGGAAACCTGCCCATGGATTTAGAGGATTTTGATGGATTTATAGAGGATTTTGATGATTCCTTTCACCAAGCCGTGGGAGGCCTCATCACCAAGCCGCAGGCGGTGATGCGTGGCTTGGAGACAGAGATCGGAATTCCATGGAAAATGATGGACAATAACGGATACTATAGGGTTAAACGGGAGAATACTGGATAATCATTGGATGATCATGGATAGTAGTGTGAGTTTGAGATCAATTAGATCCTGACACCATGTTCCTCACGTGTGGCTTTTGGTTCAAACTACCCTAACTTAGGGCCCTTGAGCTGTGGTTGCAAAAACGGTCCCTAGCGCACTTCAAACTGGTAGCGGAGCTGGTTGCCGGAGAGTTCGCTCCCGACATCCGGACTCTCACGGTGATAGCCTAGGCCCGGAACCCCCCTGTGTGTTTTTCTGTGTTGTGTTGTGTGTAACGTAGAAACATCCTGAAGGATCGACGAAATCCCATCGAACATCATGTCGATGGCTGGCCTGAGGTACTGCCCAAGCAGTCCTTCAGGACCATTGGAGACAAAGAGTGGTGCCTATGTGTACAGTGGAGATCCATCCCACTTTCACGAATGGCAATTCAGAACCCTTCTTCGTGTGGAACTCTGCAAGAAGAAGATGGAACAGAAGGCCAAAGAGAAGGCCAGAGAAGCATCCAGTAACCCGGCCAGTCCTGCAAGCAGTGGTCGGAGAAGACGTCAGTCGACGGAAGCGACTAGACGAGAGGATGCAGATGATGGAGAAGAAGTAGCTGCTGAAGTGTCGCCCCAAGCCCCATCTGGCGAGCACTCGCCTGGCCCAGGTGGCTTTGCTTCACCCCGTAGCCAAGAGGACGACGATCTGATGGACGTGTCCCCCTCCGTGGAGCTTGTCACCAAGGTGATGGAAGGGCTGAGGGGAGACGCCTTCCTCATGGCGAAGGACATGGGCCTGAGCTCACTGATGGAGGTCGGACCTCCCACCGGACTCGAGAAGTTGGTGGAGAGGATCAAGGAGCATGTGTTCCCCCTGAGGTCACATGAGGCTAGGGAGTTGTTCCGAGTCGGACAAATGCCGACCGGACCTCTCTCTCGCCAGCCCGCTGAGACAATCCTGTCCTTCATTGGACGAAGGAAGAGATGGTGGATCCAGTTGAGGGAACTGGATACCGAAATGGCCATTTCAAGTCAGAAGCGAGCCGAGCTCCTCCTAGAGACCTCCGGCCTGAGCAGACAGGAGCAACTCATGGTCAAGACAGCCTGCCCGAAGCCGAGCTTCGAGGGATACAGCGAGATCTTGTTGGAGCACCATGAAAGGATCCACTTGAGGGATTCGAGAAACCTGGCCCCTGCCACGAGGCCCTTTCAATCGAAAGGAGCAGGAAAGAACAAAGGCAAGGGGTGGTATCGATCAGGCTACATGGTTGGTGACTATGAAGGCCATGGAGATGAAGCAGCTGGAGATGAGAACAACTATGCCTGGAACGAGGACTATGACGAAGGGGCCTATGTCGGGTACGGTGACGAGCCCAGTACAGAGGACCCAGATGATTGTGACTGGGTTTCAGATGAAGATCTTGGCATTGCTTTGACTGCCATGGCTGCTTGTGACATGGATGAGACATCAACAGATGGCCTTGAAGAGCTTGGTGAAGCTTGTCAACACCAGTTGCAAGCCTACGCAGCTGTGGAGCGTGCCAAGGGAAAAGGACCCTACAAGGGATCAGGAAAAGGCAAGGACAAGGGCAAAGGAAAAGGCAAGAGGGTTGTGAGGACCCAGCTGTCCATCCAGGACAGGAAGGTCAGACTTGCCAGTCTGAAGAAGAACAGTCGTTGCCTACGCTGTGGAGGCTATGGACACTGGGCAGGTGACCCAGAGTGCAAGATGCCGAACAAGAAGCCAGGACCCACTCCTGGACAGACGCCGAACCCCAAGGTCGGCTACATGGCCCTGAGCGACTCCTCAGGAGAGGATGATGGTGGACAACTGCCTTGCATGGTCATCGGTGCAGGTAACAGTAAGAAAAGCTGTGGATACATGGGCTATAAGACACCCCAATCACCTGCCAAGGCCAAGGCACGAAACCCACCGAAGTCACCCCCTGCCACCAGTGATGGTAGCTTCACTCAGGTGTCAAGCACTGCATCAGCCTCACGTGTGCCCAGGATGCCCGTTTTCAGAGCCAAGCGAGAAGACTCCATGGGAGATGATTCATTGCCCCCTGGAAGTGATCATGTTTTCACGTTTGGACAACACAAGGGTTACACGTATCATGAAGTGTTGATGCAATACCCTGGGTACTATGTTTGGGGACGCAATGAACCTGGTACTTCAAAGATTTTGAATCAGTTTTTGGACTGGGTTGACATGTACTATGATGTTGATGAGGGAACCCATCAGGTCACTGTCAAGGCTGCCCCTGTGGAAGTAGCGCCACGACCTGCTCCAGTGCCAGGATCAAGACACAAAACTGCCAAAAAGAAGCCCCCAAATCCACCAATTGAGATCCCCGGTCATGTTTGTCAAAACTTCATCAAACAAGGAACCAATGCATTTGTGGATCAGAAGACTTGCAGGGATTGTGGAAAGGTAGTCCAAACCCCAAAGGTTCACACGTACACTCAGGATCCTGCAACATGCACCCATGCGGTCACTGACAAGAGAGGTTCGACCAAGAACACCAGCAGGACGTTTTGTCTGCTGTGTGGAACTCATGTGGACGAGATGCCACGTGATGAGGGAAAGCGCAGAGAAGCCCTGGGAAAGGCTGTCAGTCAGTCGACTGCCCCCATGGTTGATCTAGCTGAAGACTTGTTGAAGTATGATCGACTGGAATTGCTTCTGGGTACTGAGGACTCAGTTGCAGTGATTGCCCAATTTCAACATGACTGTGAAGTTGAGTTGGAGCATGATCCTTACATGCGTGCAAGTGTCATGGTTGACATCCTTCGCAATTCCATTGAGGCCGTGGTGGAAGCTCGAGAAGCAACCTTTGCCAGCTATGTGGCATTGACTCCATTGGAGGACGAGCTGGAATGCAGTCAGCTCCCGATTGTCGATGTTTTGAACGACGATCATGTTTGGGGAGTGCTTGATGAGGGTTGTAACTCTACGGTTTGTGGACATGAATGGATGGAATCATGCAGAGCCAAGTTGAAGAAAATGGGTTTTGAAGTTCCCATGCAATCAGATGAACAAAAGGCTTTCAAAGGTCTTGCAGGCAATGTGCGAACCAAGGGTCGCTACAGAATCCCATTTGTGCTGGAACCTGAAGGTGGTAAGAAGTTGCCAGGTGTTTTGGAAACATACGTGGTTGGTGAACCTGGTGATCCAACGCCCCTGTTGCTGTCACAGCATGCTCAAGCAGCGTTGGGTTTGGTGAAAGACATGGCAACATCCACATGCACACTTGGTAGGAATGGACCCACCTTGAAGTTGCACAGAACCAAGGATTCAGGACTTTTGTGTGTTTGCCTGAGCAAGGGATTGACCAACATGTCATTCAAGGAAACACCCACTCAGATCAGGGAGCTGAAAACCCCTGAGAGCATGGCGTACGTTGGATCGACACCCAGGACAAGAGTGCCAGCAGCACAACAGGTGCTGATCTACACAGCTGGACATGATTCAGTCCACCTTTGGCCAGCTACTGTCAAAACCCTACGGGGAGAACTCTGGAAAGGCTGTGCCAGGCTTTCGGGCTGAATGATCGAGAGGTGTTCGTGCTGGAGACGCTGGAGTTGGGTGATCCACATCATGACAAGTCACTACGATCCCACATCGGTACCCATCCTGACATCCTTGCAGGATTGGTGAGAAACGACTGGTCGATGCAGGTGATGCATGCCCTGATTCGACGCATCAAGCGATCAGTGGATGAAGGCAAACAGGTTGGAGTGATTGCCTACTGCCGACGAAACCGACACAGGAGTGTGGCCCTGGGTTGGTTGGTTTCATGTGCCTTGGAGTACTTGGAGATCAGTTGCAGTCTGACACATGCCAATGCCCAGGTCAGTTGGGGTGAGATGTCAGGCAACTGTCGAGGCAGATGTGATCACTGCCAACACATCAATGCAGATGCAAAGACAGAGGCCGAAGATCATGCAGGAAAGCTGTGCGACATCGCCAGGTGCGATTTGACTGAGAAAGATATGGCTTTGCTGAGTGATGTCTGTGAGGTGAGGGGTATTGGATTGGCACCAGTACCAAAGGCAGCGCCCACAGCACCAGAGCGGAGGGCACCGAGGCCCAGAGCACCTCCTGAGCCTCCAGCGCCTTCGAGGACATCATCAGCTGCAGCTCGCCCAGCTCCTGAGACAAGGCCTGCTCCCAGGACGCCTCCTGGAAGACTACCTCCAAGGACACCACCGAGGAGGACATCACCACCAAGGAGGACATCGCCACCAAGAAGGTCAAGATCACCAACGAGAAGGTCAAGGATCCCAGTGCAGGAAGAGCCACAGATAAAGGCTTTGATGCAAAGATCAGCGAGCTGACGTCTGTGGTATCGCAGCTTGTGGCTGAACGAGATCAAGCCAGATCCTCAGCAGCAGCCTCGTCTTACAGAAGACGCAGTGATTCGAGGGATTCAAGACGACGTGGTCGATCGAGGTCCCCTCGAGAGAGCCGAGGGTATGGTGATGCACCATGGCGTCGGGAAGAATCCTACCGACGACCGAGGCCAAGAACGCCACCAAGACCCACAAGGAGTCCAACACCTCTTCAACGACGACGACCGCCACCAAGGCAGATGAGTGTGGAGTCGGTCATGGCTGGTTGGCCAAGTCATTTGGACTTGCCTGCACGGGAGGATGATGGCACCTCCTGGAATCAAAGGGTTGATGCCCACGGACTTTCTGTGGAGCTGTTGGATGCAATGTGGTATGCAGCTGCTGTGGACAGACAGACAGGCTACAAGCAGAAGTGTTTGCGTTGGGCTGGCCCCTATTTTCCTGGCTCAACAGCTGAGGAGAGAAAGGTGCTCAACGTTGAGCAGAACAACATGAACTCCAATGTGAAGATCACTGTGCTTGGCCTTGACTACATCGGGCTGTGCTTGCAGGGAATTGCAGAGGGTGATCGAGGCAAATCTCTTCGGAGAAGTTGGGCCTCCCCTGCAATGCGCAACAACAACTGGAATGTGACGGTGTACGATTTCATAGATCGTAGCTGGGCAGTGGTCGGCACGTATCCAGTCGACACAGACCTTGAGTATGATCATGAATCAACAGGCCGAATCCTGATCTACGCGCCCCCAGGAGGAGGAGACACACCACCTCCTGAGGAGCCAAATGGATCAGGTGACAATGGCAATGACGGCAACGGTGGAAACGGTGATGAAAACGAGGAGCCTCATGCCCCTGGTGAAGATCAGGAGGAAGAGAAGGCCGATGAGGAAGAGATCACCGAAGAGAGCACGCACCTTGAATTTGCAGGTGGTGTGGAGACCATGGATACTGGTGAACCCATGGATGTGATTGAAGAGGTCCCCACAGCACATGCCGCAGTAACTGTTCCCAAAGAAGAAGTGCATGAGAATAACCCTGGACAAATAACCCCTGAACTGAAGGCATTGGGAGTAGGTGAAGGTGAAGCCCCTGAAAAGGTCACTTTGCCCCAAACGTTTGCTAAGGCCATGACACCCATGCATCCCAGCAAGTTCATCGATCTCAACAGCGACGATGATGATCCAAGTGGTGGTACTGGATCTGACACGGTTGCAACAGCAGTGAAGCTGGAGGTGAAAACAGAGCCTCAGCCGTGTGCGTTGTTGGGAGCCTTGATGTCCAGTGAGCCAAGAGTGATGGACAAAAAGGACAAACTTGTTGTGACAACAGGGTTGAAGGTCATGCAACATGAGGATGAAGTCATGAAAGCCATGGTTGGAGTATCCCATTTGTCAGAGTCAGTTCATATGTTGGTTTTGAAAGATCCCACGATCAATCTGTCCAGTTGGAACGATCTGCATGTCATGACAATTGACCCCAATTGGGAAGACACATGCAAGAAGCTTGGTCTCATCCCAGAGCCCTGGACTGGTTGCAGTGTACATGGAAAAGCCCACTTGGAAACAGATCCAAGATGTCCATTGTGAAGCCGATATGAACCAATGCACGGTTGTGGTTATCACCCCATACTTGGAAAGCCTGGTTGACAAGGGCTACTGGTTTGGGGGTGACTTGTGCCTGTTTGTTGCAGGAGATCGCAACGATGCTTTGTTCAGGCTGGCAGTGGATTGGAACGGGGGTCAAGTGAGCATGACTCCAAGAACGTTCCATGATGCTTGTGGTATGCAGTTTCATGAGTTGTTGAAAGGTCATTCAGAGAAGCTTTACCTAGATAGGTACGCACAGACATGTTTTGTTGGTGAAGCAAGGGATGAGTTATCTGGATCAGATGACCAGATGCTGGATGATCCCAACAAACCTCTGACTTCGGCAGAGAAAGAACAGCTCATGTTGGATCAGCTTGCAATCCCTGGAGCCCCATTGGATGAGGTTCAGAGGAGAGCGCGCTGGAGAGCACTGCCCACACGAACTAGGATTGCCATACGCCGTTTGCACAGGCAATTTGGTAATCCAACACCTGCTACCTTGAAGAACATCCTGAAGGCAGGAAGGGCGTCTCCTGAGCTGATCGAGGCAGCTCGTTTGGTGAGGTGCCAAGCATGTGAAGACACCACAAAACCCCCAAGAGACCATCCAGTTGGGAGTCATTTCAACTTTGAGTTCAACTCTATGTTGGGTTTTGACGTTTTGGAAATGAGAGATCATAAGGGGAATAAGTACTCAGTGATGTCTATGGTTGACATTGCAACGGGTTTTCACATGTGCGAAGTTGTCAAGGAAGGTGGTGGACAGCCTACTTCAGAGCCATGTGCCAAGGCGCTGATGACCAAGTGGATCGCTTGGGCTGGCTGGCCAAAAGCATGCATCATGGATCGAGGTTTGCACAACAGAGGTGCGGTGACCAAGATGCTGTCCAGTCATGGATGCAACATTGAGTTTGCTCCCTTGGAAACCCCAGCAGCCATAGGTAAAGTAGAACGACATGGGGGAATCCTGAAAGCAATGGTCAGAAAGGTAGTTGCAGATACCGAGACCGCCGGACTTGCAGACTTTGAGATGCTGCTGCAAGAGTGCACTTCAACGAAGAACCAGATGCAAAGAACCACTGGCTACAGCGGGAGCCAATGGGTTCTGGGAAAACAGCCAAGAATGCCAGGCTCAGTCACAGACATGTCAGAAAGTGCTGACTTGGGTGTGGTTGAAGCGAAAGCAGATCCAAACGTGGCGTACCACAAGGTACACGAAGCAAGGATGAGCGCGCAACGAGCTTTCGTCCATTTGGACACCAGCAGCAGAGTTGCTCGTGCATGCTTTGACTCGCAACGCGGCGCCCCAACACAAGGAGTATGCAGTCGGTGACCTGGTTTGCTACAGGAGGGATGCCCAGCAGGGAGGCACGACATGGAGCACAGCATCCCGTGTGATCGGTCACGATCCCATAATGGATTGTGGCTCCTGCACGAGGGAGTGCCCATCCTGTGCAGTACATCGCGCGTGAGGTCTGCTAATGAGAGCGAGGCCTTGGCTTTCTCCATCCTGAATGGGGAATCTGTGCTGCCAGATGCTATCGTGTCAGGCCCTCAGCAACAGAAATATGTACGTCTTGAAGATGAACAAGAAGCCCCAAGATTCCCAAATCCGACTGGGATCTTTGATGATGATGATGCCCCTGCGGGGAGCAGTGCGCCGTCGAGAGCCCCAGCGACACCTGGGAGAAGGACGAAGACCAAAGATAAGACGGGCCAATCTGAGCGTCCAGGACCTTACACAAGAGTTGCACCAACAACCCCTGGAGCACTGCCTGGAGATACGATGCTGGCTGAACTGGTGGGTGGAGACCACTGGCGCATCGGGAAAGATGTTGCAATCAGAGTTCACGCAGAACCCAGGAAGCGAGAGTACAACACGATGATCGATGGTGAATAATTGCCTGAAGGGTTTCAGGACTCAGGGTTCGCAACAGTCAGAAAGATCTTCAGGAATGGGGATGTAAAAACAAACGAAACGGGTAAGGTAAGTAACGTAGAGGAAACAGACGCTTGGACCGGTTTCACCGTTTTTCGACGGGCACAAGACCCGTTCGAGCGCACGCGACCCATGGATCTGGAACTGGACCCGGAGTTTTTTGTCTTTCATTGCACAGCGCATTGTGGAAGGTGAGGAGACAGTACAATCTGGAAAGGTGGCCAAAACAGTGGATATCAGGAAGGTCTCGCCTGAGATCAGAGCCCTGATGATGGATGCCAGAACTGCAGAATGGGAGAAGTACAAGAGCTTCAATGCTGCAATTCCCATTTGGGGAAAGGAGCTTCAGAATCTGCTGGATGAAGGTCACAAGGTGATCCCATCGAAGTGGGTTGAAGCAGACAAAAACTAACATCTGAAAGGAACCCCGGAATACAGTCCCAAGATAAAAGCCCACCTGGTGATTTGCGGTAACTTCGAAGATGTGAGCCGCGAAGACGTGAGGTGCGATGCACCTACTGCAGATGCAGAAAGTCACTGCCTACTAGCAAGCTGGGCAGCATCAGAGCGGTTACGCCTCAAGGGAAGTGACGTGACCAATGCGTATTTCCAAGCAAAGCCACTCACTCGCCTGCTTTTGATGAGGCAGCCAACGGGTGGACTTGGTGATCCGGAAGTGCCTGCAGAAGCGTGCCTGCTCTGCAGAGTACCCATCTATGGGTCAATCGACGCTGGTAGAGGTTTCTACTTGCGCATGGACTCCGAGGTGAAGACTGCTGGCATGAAGGCGTCTAAAGTGATGCCTGCGTTGTATTACCACCAAGATGAAAATGGTAACTTGGACGCAATGCTTTGCACTCACGTGGATGATTTGTTGTTCGCCTGCAAGCCAAGTGGCGGGAAGGTTATCCAAGAAACCCTCGGGAAGTTCTCGGTCGGAAAGACTGAAGAGGGAAGCTTCCGGTACTGTGGACGCAGGTTCACGCAACATGATGACTTTACAATCGAGATCGATGCGGAGGAGAATACACGCGGAATCAGACCAATTTCAATCGACAAGTCCCGTAAGGGAACGGATGTTGTGACGGAGAAGGAATTGACAAGCCTCAGATCCGTGACAGGATCGTTGGCGTGGGTAGCGCGGTATTGCCGTGCTGACCTTGCTTACAAGGTGAATGAGTTGCAGCGACTTTGCAACGCAAAGGCCACAGTGTCAGACCTTAGGCTGGCAAACAAGGCCGTGGAATTGGCGCATCTTAACCAAGACACGAAACTGGTGTACAAATCCAACTGGGTCAATTGGCAGGACCTGGCTGTGGTGACGTACAGTGATGCGTCGTTTGCAAATGAAGAAGGTTTCAAATCGCAACAAGGCAGGATTCATTACCTGACCAATGCCTCGCAATTGGGTGAAAAAGATCACAATATACATGTGATCAGCTTCGCCTCATCGACGCTGAAGCGCGTCTGCCGAGCAACGTTGCAGGCGGAATCGTACGCACTCCAAAGTGCGGTTGAGCACGGAGACAGTGTGAAATGACAGGAAAACTGTCCACGATGACTGACTGGCACGAACAGTGTCAGATCAAGATGAAGCATGTTTGGGTGTCAGACTGCATGAGTTTGGTGGAACACCTGAACGCAGAGGTACCGAAGAAAGTACAAGATAAAAGGTTAGGAATCGAATTGGCAGCGCTGAGACAATCACTCTGGGTTGCAAACACTGGAGCTCGCAGCTGTCAGGAATATTCACCCTACGGGGATGAGTTGCAGTGGATCGAGACAGCCAAGTCAAGATGTTGGCCGACGCTTTGACGAAGTCTATGCGTCCTGATCTGCTGGTACGTACCGTACAGAGTGGACTTAATTCAAGAGCATGACAACATAGCAACGATGCGTGGCCTGAGCCATCAGCAGGAATAGCCCGCTGAAATGTAAAGAAGCGTAGGTGGACTGCCACGAGAGGACATGTAGATAAGACGGGTGTGAGTTTGAGATCAATTAGATCCTTACACCATGTTCCTCACGTGTGGCTTTTGGTTCAAACTACCCTAACTTAGGGCCCTTGAGCTGTGGTTGCAAAAACGGTCCCTAGCGCACTTCAAATCTAGTAATATGGATGATAACATTAGATGATCATGGATGATAATGGACAGTGATGGACAATCATTGGATGACCATGGATACCTTGCAACTGAAATTCGACGTTGACGACCTGGTGAGGCTTGCATCCCAGTCAGATTGACCAGTTGCTTCATCCAACCATCAGGGAAGATGCCAAGAAACAGGTGATTGCAAAGGCTGGGGCCCGTTCTCTTAGGGAAAAAACAGAGAATGATGGGTATGCCTTGAAAGATGCTGAATTCCTGCTCCAAAAGTTCCAAAAGGAAGAACTGAATTCATTGACATCAACAAGAAACTGCCAAAATGGTCCAAAATGATCCAAAATGATCCAAAAACTCATCAAACTTACCATCCAAAACTCGCTAAATCAAACTTTTCTCCACTTTTTCTCCACTTTTCTCCCCAAACTGTCGGAACTCGGCCGGTTTTGCAGGGTCTTCCAGCCTCGCCGGGTGCAGCCATGGGGAAGGTGGTCTTTTGCGCGGACGAGGCCAGTTTTCGCAACGACGTTGTGAAAGGAATCGAAGACCACCTGAAACATCCTAAGACCGAGGGATTTGTTTCACTATCCTACACACACATATATGTCTATATATATAATACAATATAAGATAATAGAATATAATATAAGTAAAATGATATAACGTGTATATATAATATTTATATAATATTATACATTTTATCATCTATGCAAGAGTATTTTTATTTTTGTTTTGTGTGTACGAATAATTCACGCGAAGTTGGACCAGTATAGCTTTGGGTGCCGCCAGTGCCGACAGGCCGTTCAGAGAGTCAACGATGGAGAGAAGGTGATTCTGGTGCGGAGCAAAACCAGCGCAGAAGACATTCATGGACTACACGCTGCGGAAGGCCACCTTGTCGGAGTTTGGTCAGCCGTAAGAAGGGTGTACTGGGGGAATTGGGGGAAAGAAACTGAAACAAAACTGAAAGAAACTGAAAGAAACTGAGAGATTGCAAGACACGGTATCGACACATGTAGACTCTTTCATCATCTTTCGACTTTGGTGCAGGTGTGCTAACCACTTGCGGAGGCATGACAAGCCATGCTGCGGTCGTTGCTCGCAGTATGGGACGCCCATGTGTAGCTGGAGCAGGACAAACCAGTGATTTACAAGCATTTAGAAAACCGCATTTGCTTCCGTGCTTCCGAGAAACCGCGAGGCTTTGTCTTTGGTTCCGTGGCAGTTGATCATTTCAACATTGTTCACAACGTTTCAACGTGTTTCAACATCTTTCTTGTTGCTTTATTTCTAGACGTGTGTTTCGATTCCAGGACATTTGGAAATCGATGAGGCGGCCGGAAAGCTGAAGGTGGGTGACGTTGTGGTGGAAAAAGGTCAGAAGCTGACCATCGACGGAAGCACGGGAGAAGTTCTTCTTGGAGACGTGCCCACGGTGGTGCCCAAGGTCACCGGTGCTTTCAGGACGTTGATGTCCTGGTCCGACGAGTATCGCACCATGCAGGTCCGTGCCAATGCAGAGACCGTGGCAGATGCGCGCTTGGCCAAAGACTTTGGTGCAGAAGGTATTGGCTTAGTGCGAACTGAACACATGTGGCTAAGCTGAATCTGAAAGCGCAAGGTTCAGTATTGCAATCCCCTCTCTGTTCAAAGTTTCTCCATTGATTTTGTACAGTTGTCTTTCCGTGCTTTCAGGTTCTTTGTTGGCATGCGCATCACTGCCATGAGACAAATGATCTTGGCCTCCGACACCCGAGATCGAAAGGATGCCTTGCATCGGCTATTGTTCATGCAACGGGAAGATATGACCGAACTCTTCCAGATCATGGAGGGTCATCCTGTTACGATTCGTTTGTTTGATCCTCCCCTGCATGAGTTCCTGCCCAACACGGAGGCCGAGTTGTCCTACGTGGCGCGGGCTGCAGGCGTGCCAGTGGACCGTGTGCGTCGACGTGCCACCGAGCTGAACGAAGCCAATCCCATGCTGGGACACCGTGGCTGTCGTTGCCAAGCCGCAGCCAAGATTTCACCAACTTGGAAGATTGAAGTTGATTTTCCAAGGGATTCAAGTTGATTCAAAAATCCCTTGGAAATGTCTGGAGTATCTTGGACAAGGCCAAACTTCGCCATAACAGCCATAGCCACAACAGCCATAGCAGCCATAAGACATGAGAGGCATGTTGCTTGACATTTGTTTCGCCATGTTTTGCCATGGATCCAAGCCTCTTCAAGCTGAGGCTTGGCGATTACTTATCCTGAGATCTGCGAGATGCAGACGCGTGCCATTTTCGGTGCAGCAGTGGAAGCAGGTCGAACCGCTCCGTCGAAGAAGTTTCCCGTGGTCGAAGTCATGGTACCTCTGGTGGCCTCTGTCGGTGAGTTCAAAATCATCAAACAGATCATCGACAAGACCGCGGCAGCTATTCAGAAAGAGGATCCAAGTGTTCCAAGTGTTCCAATGAAGAACATGAAAAACACAAAAACCGGAAAAACCATGGAAAAAACAAGTTGAACTAGTTATCAACTGTTTGGAACCAACTATCAGTAACTATCATCATTCCTAGCGCTTTCTATTCGTTGATCATGACCTCCAGGAGAATGTGAACTTTGAGTATCGCGTTGGTTCGATGATTGAACTTCCACGGGCAGCTCTTCAAGCTGTTTCGGCCCCAGTCCTCTAAATCCTCTCGTTTCTAGAACAACATGTGATATCATGTGATCATGGGTGGCAGGCTATACCATATTCTCGTTATATTCTCATTATATTCTCATTATATTCTCATTATATTCTCATTATATCTCGTTGATACTATTGATATATCTCATCTCATGTTCCACTGTTCCATGTGGATATCTGATATCGATCCAGCCTAATAGGCCAAACTGGCCAAGCACGCGGAGTTTTTCAGCTTCGGCACCAATGACTTGACGCAGACCACCTATGGCCTCAGTCGAGACGACACTGGGAGTTTCATGGCAGAGTACAAGGTGCCTCCGTGGTGAGGTTACCCTCTGGTGAACTAACAGTTTGCAATGGAAAATCACCATTTTTAATGGGAAAATCCACTATTGTTATGAATTTTCAATGGTCAATCTTTGAGGCTCCAAAAAAGTGGAAGCTCCAAGTTTACAGTACTTGGAAGGGACTGGCATCCGGCTGCACGCCTCTTCCTGTTATATTCGGTTCGAAATCGTTCCCGATCATCCATGATCATCCCCATTTTGCCTTTCAGATTTCAGCCTTTTTCTTTTAAAGTATCAGTTGATGTCAGATCTGCTAGGCCAAAGGCATCGTGGCGTGTGATCCCTTCGTGACATTGGACGAAGATGGCGTGGGCGAACTCATCAAATTGGCCATGACCCGTGGCCACAGCACGCGGCCGGACATGAAGATGGGCATCTGTGGCGAACATGGTGGCGATCCGACCTCCATTGATTTCTGCCAGAGGATGCTGACATCTTTTGAAAGATGTGTTGTCAGTGAAATGCGCTTGGCCATATTGCTACATGCTCGACTGTTGTTTGGTCGGTTTTCCTGAAAGAGTAGTTCATTGAGAGTTCATTGGGACAGTTTCTAGCTAAAGGATGGAGACAATTGAGTAGTTGGACAACTCTCGTCACATCTTTCCGAATGCTTCGACTTCCACTTCCTATCCCATCCTATCCCATCCTATCCCATCCCTGATCCTTTTGGTTCCGCGCAGCTGCGCAGGATAGGCTTGAACTATGTGAGCTGCTCCCCCTACCGGGTCCCCATCGCCCGGCTGGCTGCAGCACAAAGCGCATTGAAAGCGCGAGGCGAGGAAGTGGGGTCACCCGAAATCAGAGCCGCCAAGCCTCGGGTGCCCACCTTTGGACCATGGTGAGACTGGAGGTGACTTTTTTGGTGCTAAGATATGGCAATTTTCTGGATGTAAGATTTTAGGGAGGAGAGTGCGCGATGAAAATTGCGTCTCTCAAGTTCCATTTGAAGGCACAGCTCCCTTTTCATGTTCGTTCCAATTTGAGAACCCTATACAAAATATCAAACACCAGAATTCACGATACATCATCCCCTTTGGTAAATCTGCACTTGGAGCTGTTTTTGGAGCTTGCCATTCCGTATTTGAAGACAGCAGTTTGGGTGTACAGTTTCAATTCGCGCCGCTGTGTGGCCATGGAGGTCCTTTTGTTTATGAAAGGTTAGCGTGGCCGATCGAATGGATAGAACGGTGTGCCAAGGCTGAGAAATCCCCAGCGCAGACGAACAGAGCTTTGGACAGAGCTTTGAACAGCTGGGAATGGTACGAAATATTTGTTTTTTTGGCACTTAATAGATCTTAATAGCGTTTAAAAGCATTTTATAGCCTTGAATTGCCTCGTGATTTGGCGATGTGAGTGTTTTCTTTCCGGCCTTTGTGATCGGATCTTCTGCAGCTGTCCGATCAAGCCGCAGGGATGGTGCCTATTAAGCCCAGGGCAGAGGCAAAATCTCGGATCAAAAAAATCCAGATATCGACATTTTTGGGACGGCCAGTACCAGTTGATAAATCTGATAGGGTGACCATCTTTCTTGTTGACTGCACCTCGCATCGTTTTAAGGGTTTTAACGGCCATGGCGGAAGATGAGGTTCCCCAGGGCGTCATCGTCTGTGTCCGCTTGCGGCCCATGTTTGTGAAGCGGCCGGATGGCACACCAGGGCGAGAGGCCACATGCCAACGGGTGGTGGAGATGGAAGGCAAGGCCGAAAAAGGTGTGGGCTGTGCTGTCACCAAGATCTATGATCCAGCGGATATGAGTGCAGAACCGCGCTCCTATGCATTTGACCGCAGTTGGTGGAGCTGTGATGGCTCCACCGATGATCCAGAGAGACCGGGCTTCAGAATACCTGATGGCCCAAACTCCAAATATGTGGATCAGGACATGGTTTGGTCGGATATTGGGCAAATTGTCATGAAAAATGCCCTGAAGGGCTACAATTGCACTGTCTTTGCATATGGCCAATCTGGCTGTGGCAAGTCCTACTCGGTGGTCGGGGATTCACCCAACTGGGGGATCATTCCTAGAACCGTGAAAGCACTCTTCGACGTGGTCGATGGTAATACGGACCCCGATGTGCGCTTTCACGCCGCCTGGCGGTCTGAACATGCCCACAGTTTTTTACGGTTTTTAATCCCTCAACAATGGGAAGATGATGATGATCCCTGCAAACAGGGATAAATTGATCCGTCAATAAGACTATAAGACTTTGATATATATGTTTTCCCGATTGGACTTGGAATTGCTGCCTCCAGCACTGGCAGGTTGAGATTGCCATGGTGGAAGTCTACATGGATGAAGTCTATGACCTTCTTGAACCCCGGAAGAAGGAACGGCAGAAGCTCAATGTTTTCAACAACAAGGGAGAGGCTGGGTGGCTGGGTGTGGCCCCCCATCTGAGTGATTGCAAGGTGATATTCATGATATTCCCAATCCCAATTTTTGTTTCCCATCTATTTCCCATATATATATATAAGTATTATATTATATGATAAATATTTTGTTCCACTTTTTTTGATTCCAATATGATTTCCGGGGGCCCTTGAGGTCTTCATCTACGACCCAAAGGACCGAAAGAACATGGACAAGATTTGGAGGGCCTGCAGCAACCACGACAAGGCGGAGTCGTTCAGGAAGATGGGAGATGCGAATCGGTCGATCCGAGCCACTGGCATGAACCCGGAATCCTCGCGTGGACACACTCTCTTCATCCTTCGCTTTAGGAAGGAAGTGACCCTTGACCGAAGTCACTACCCAAGTCACTGCTTTGGAACTGCATGCTTGTACCATTTGGTATGCATGGTCACTGTTGCCGTAACACATGTAGACAGTTGCCTCACTTGACATAACCTTACAGGGTATCGGGAAGAGATGAAGTTGTGAAACGAGATGTCCTTGCTAGGAACTTGGGTCCGCTGCATGATGTCCCAGCACGCATCATGTCCCAAAACATAGGCATGTCGCGGCTCTCGATTTGATGATGTGAAACCTCCTTCTTGAGATTTCTTAAGTTCACTTTAAACATTTTTAAAAGCGCGGTGACATGTGAAGACATCAAGCTGTTTTTTCCAAGGAAGCGCGGAGGTTGGGTGGAGGAGTTTCGATCCAAGCTTTGCCTCGTCGATTTGGCCGGCAGTGAACGAGCCCATGACACCGGATTGACGGGTGTTGGTTTGGAGGAAGGTATTGCCATCAATCAGTCCCTGTCAGCTTTGGGGCACCTGGACGACGTTGAAACCCTGATTTTTTGGGGGTTTTGGCTGTTTGAGCTATATTTCATCTCAGCTTTCGTTCCATCATATTATCATATATTAATATAATATAATATAATATAATATAAAATAATATAATATAAAATAATATAATATAAAATAATGTAATATAACATAACATAACATAATATAATATAATATAATATTATATATATATATTAATATATTATATATTATCCATGTTTAGTCATGTTTACAACATTCATATATCTTTACCCATCTTTTTCCTAATGTTTGTGCCTTCCTGGGGATGAATTTCCGACCTTTTCGCAGCAAGGCAATGCTTGGTTCAACTTTGCAAAGGTGAACGTGTGAATTACAGTGACAAACTGACCAAGTTGCTGGCAGAAAGTCTGGGTGGAAATGCTGTCACAGTGATGATCGCAGCCCTCTCACCTGCAGACATTAACTACAACGACACGCTGTCCACACTCCGTTGCTGGGTGCCGAACATCATCTTCCATCATGTTCCATCATCTAACTCAGGGTTGTCATAGCAGTTGGCCAATCAATAGCAGATCTTAGATTCATTCAGATTCTTCCAATTTTTGGTGTTGTTTATCCTCTTAGTGACTGGTGACTTTTCCGCGCTCGACATATGGATGGCCCTTGGATGGCCCTTGGATGGCCGAGGCTTCGCAGACAACGCCAAAAAGATGCCGGTGAAGGTGAAGAAGCAACTGGATCCCACGGCTGAACTCATCCGACAGTTGCAGGAGGAGAATGCCAAGTTGCAGGCTCAACTTCAATCCATGGGAAGCGAGGAGCGCTGCAAGTTGTGATCAGTTGGTGCTTTCTGAGCGTTAAAAAGAGTGTATCGGGCTAGTCATGTGTAATGGAAATGGAGTGCAATGGATGGTAATGATTTAATGGTTCAATTCTTATTTGAATCTTATTTTGGTACAGGTTATTTCTATGTATTTTTATTCTGAAGCCTCCTGGTCCTTGTTCTGCACTGGTTCTGCCTGAGGAAATCGAGAAGGAACGCCGTGAATGGGAAGAGAAGCTGGCGGCTGCGGACAAGAAGGTGTCGGAATCGCAGAAGGCCTTGGAAGACATGAAGGCGAACGCCGAGTCCAGCACTCGCGTCCACCTGGTACGCGCCAAGACCGGTGTAGAGGAAGAGGAACTCAGTGTGGAAGAACTGGAAGCCAAGGTGAAGGAGTTGGAAGAGATGAAGAACAACAGCGACAGCAGATTGGAGGCCGGCTTTCCACTGAATTCTTTTTGGGATGTCACCGTAAATCATAGTAAATCCCCACTAGTGACATAGAGATCGGATCACCGTCGATTCGTGACCGTCGAGTGGTGAGACCTTCAGGAGCTGAATCTGGAGATCACCCGGCTGCAAGCGCGAATCCAAGACCTTGGTGGTCCCGAAGAGGCTCAACAGGAGCAACTGGATCCAACTGGGATGGGCGGCCCCAAGGTCTGTAGAGAATGGGGCGAAGAGGATACAACTGGATACAACTGGATACAACTGGATACAATAGATTCATATAGATTCATATAGATTCATATAGATTCATATAGATTCATATAGATTCATATAGATTCATATAGATTCATATAGATTTGATGTTTTCGAGATGTCTGATTACCTCGCTGGATTTTAATTATTTTAGTATCATCAGGCGAAGAGGATTTTGATGCACACCTACCCGCCCTAGCAGCCCTAGCATCTCATATGAACAGGTCAAGCCACAAGATATCGTGGATTTGCAATGGATTTCCACCTGAATCCCAGTAAGATCCTCAAATGATCCACAAGAATTTCTCCATTTTTTGTTCTTTCTTGGGAGCTTTGCTGAGCTGAGGCAAGATGAGTTGGTGGATTTGATGCGCAACAAGAGCACTTCGCAAGTGCAGAATGCTTCGATCCAAGAGCAGCAGAAGGAGACCCTGGCGATGCTGATGGAAGCGCGTCTGGGTGAGATCGAACGGCTCCAAGATGCCCGTGACGCGGTACGCCTGGAGATTTTGAAGGTCAAGAAGAACGGGGGAGACGACACGAGTTCCCAGGTATCTTGGACAGAAAAAATGATAATGTTTGTAAAGTAATAGTAAAGCATGACAGGATATTTACCATGAGTGGTATTACAAAGAACAACAATATGGGTGTTTTATTCTAATTTATTCTAATTATTGTTATTATTACTATTCTATAAGTTTATTATCATTACTAAGTATCGCTATGTTTTACTTATGGGTGACATTGGATGATTTGGACCTGAACCTCAGCAGCTTCCCTGCCAAGGATGAATGCCTGGCAAAGCTGGAAGAACAGTTGGTGTTGGCCCGCCAGGCGGAGAGAAAAATCCCAAGGATGAGATGCTTACATAACTACATAAATTATTCCCTGGCGCGCTCCCCCTTTCGTCTGCCGGGGTCGGCGGATATGGGTACATATATATATATATATATTTATACAATCTATAGAGAGAGAGAGAGAGAGACCACAGGCGTGTTTTCAATGAATCATCCACCATCTCTTGACCTACAGTTTTTCGATAGCGGAGTCGGGTTTCCCCGGCTTTGGGACGCTGAAGAGGACTGCGAGAAGATGAGTGAGAAGGCAGCAGAGGTTGGCATGGGAAAGATCTTCCATGCTGCGATTCTGGCACTGCAGCGGCAAGACGAAGACTCGAAGGTGGGACATTCCGACAATTTTTGTGCAGAGCTTGGATAAAGCCAAGTGATGGGGAAGATGGAGGTCTATGATCCATTGTGAAAGGAAAATCAATTAAAGAAACTCTTCCCTTAATCACCTCTGTGAGAAAAGTCCTTACGAGGAAACCGTCAGGTGCCGTCAGGCCCGTTGCTCGCAGGTCCAGTACCTGCAGGACCAGCTGTCCATTCTGCAAGCTTCCGCTGACCAGGATCACGCCCAGGTGCCGCGCCCAAGAAAGCCCGCAAGGCACCCCATTTCTGGAATAAACCCATCAAAATACCATAGAAATGGCCATTGAAATAGCCATAGAAATAACTGGTCATATGGCCTAAAATCATCGTAAATCCATCTAAAATCCCTCATTTTTCTATGCTTTTCGGATGGACATCACCATTTTCCCATGGTTTTCCCATGGGTTTCGCATTGCCTCAGGTGAAACGTCTCGAGGAGGAAAGCGTCAAAGCCTTGGCAGAAGCTGAGAAAGCGGCACAAGCGGCCAGGGATGCGGCAGAGCACGCCCTGCAAGCGACTTGAAATGGTGGTTTAATGGTGGTTTAATGATGGTTTAATGGTGGTTTAACCAACAAAAATGGTGATTTGAATGGGATTTACCCTCTGGTAAACTAACATAGCTATTGAACATTGCCCATGTAGTTCGTTGATTTTCCCATTAAAAACGGGTGGATTTTACAGTTCGCTATGTAACAGTTTACCAGAGGGTAAATGACTTTTAAGGTCTATAAACAGGTTATCATATCCTAATATCAGGCTCATTTGCCATATAGGTTTATATAGCAGTGGTAAATGACTACTGTCGAAACTGGAGAATTTCGATGGTGTTTTGACCAAAAAAAAGTCGGCTATTTGATGATGTCACATGATGTCGGCTATGGGGCGCTGAAGATTCCCAAAACAGCTGGGTCAAAATCATACTATTCGAACATCAGCCAGGCACCGCATGCTACCAATATGGTATAGAAGTATGAGATAGTATGAGTATATCATGTACAGCATTTATAAACACTGCAAGTCTAAACATCTAGAACAAGTACATGTTTGAACATATTGGCATTTGTATATTTATGTACATAATTATATATATATATGTAATTATATATGTATGTATATGTATATATATATATAGATATACCCTGACCTTCCATACACGAAGAAAACGTCGGGTCTGAGTGAAGACCCGAGGTTTTCAGATGAAACCCGGGGTTTTGGTTTTCCTGGGCGGCCTTGTTCTTCCCACTGATGTGAGGGAACCTGCGCTGCTCTGAATTAGGTGGTCTAAGGTGCACTCAGCTCCTGAATTTAACTATAGAAGGGCCAAAAAAAAACAAGCATGGGCTACAATTTCCCCTAAACCCATGATTTTTTCACGGGTTGGCACGGGTATATCACGGGTTTGGCACGGGTTGAGCACGGGTTAGTAAACGCAACATCTCAAACCCAAACTTTTCCCGATTGGGTTAAGACTATACCGTTGTGGGGAAGATAAATGGGCTTGAAAGAACCTGCGCTGCTTCATGTTTCTTAGGTTATCCCCAGGTCGTCCTTGTCAAGCCAAGACTTAGAGCGTTTAATCCCTGGCTGCCGGATGGCAGGAAACCCGCTGTTTTGGATGGAAACCACTTTTTTCCCCAATTTCAAATATTGGTATTTTTTGGTGTCTTTGGCCACCCGGTGTTTCCAGTTGAAGCCTTTTAGGCCTTGGAAGCTAAGGAGAAGATGGAGCAAGTCCAAGCCATGGCCGCGGAAAGGGACGAGGCGCGGACCGAGGCCTCGAGGCTGCGGGAGGAGGGCGGAAGTTACAAGGAGGACCTGCAAGAGAAACAGGAAGCCATTGCGGCCATCATCAGATCTGAGATGCAATCCTGGGAGGAGCTGGAGTTGACTTGACTTGGGATGACTTGGGATGACTTGGGATGACTTGGGATGACTTGGGGGAAAGTGGGAAGGGGATATTTTTTGGGAAGATTGGAAGATGTTTGGAAGGTTTCTGTTTGGGGTGCTGGTGGATTGGGGAAGTGGGATGGAATGGCTGCAGCGGCTGCGCTGTTGCAGGACAAGCTGAAGAAAGCGGATGAATCCGAGTTGGTGCTCAAGAAGTCCTTTGAGAATATGGGTGTCAGCATGCAGGACATGATGGCGATGATCACCCAAGGTACTGGTTTCGGAGGTAAAGGTGCTTCCATTTGCCACTTTGTGAACCTTTGTGAAGATGCGCATGATGATGGCTTGATCTACATGATCCCACCCGGGACCACCAAGATCAAGAAATATGAGGATGAGGATGAGGAGGTTTGCATCAAATTGGATGGTGACAGTATCAAACCCATCCATGCCATCTTGGAGTCCTTGGAGTCCTCTGGGGTAACCATCCACCCAGCCACTGAGGGAGCTGTGCTTTGGGTCAACGGCAATGCGTTGTCAATGAAGGACAAGGTGAAGCTGGAGCATGGAGCCCGTGTCATCCTGGGCCATGACTTTGTTTTCAGGCCTGGGATTCAACATGATTCAACATGATTCAACATGATTCAACATGATTCAACCCAAAAACTCTGGAGACCATTGAGAGTTCTTTTGGCATTCTAACAGAGGAATTTTGATGCAACATTTATGTTCTAAGAATTTTGGGTGCATCCTGCGCTATGCTGGCTATCCATGAATTCCTCCGCGGATCGCAGGTTCGTGGATCCCAAGGCCCAGAAAAAGAAACGCGAGAAGAATCCCATGGCCGCCACGGGGGGTTTCGATGAGAAGGGAGCCCCAGTGCCTTTGAGTTGCGGAAATGATGTTCTTTTCCCATCTTTTCCCAAGTTCATCCAGGGGGCTGGGAATATCCACGATCAGTTATCAGTTCACCAGACATGGTGAATCTAAGAATCTACCGGGAAGATTCTTATGATTCTTATTGTTTTTGTTTTTTATAGCACCGTTTTGTCTGAATTCACTGAAATGACAGGTAATCATCGATTGGCAGTACGCCATGTCGGAGCTCAGTCGCAAGAACGGCGTGGACGTGGAGGAGGAGATCCGCAAGGCTCGTGAGAAGTTGAACGATGAGATGGCGCAACGAGAGAAGAAACTCGCGGAGGAGCAGAAATTGTTGGAGGAGAAGATGGTGCAGGAGATGAACTGTGAGGTTTTGTAAGATGGGAGAATGGATGCGGCTGGAGGTTTGGGCACATTGAAAAGGAAGAGGAATGTTGCTTTCAAATAAGTCATTTGTTTTGGCTCAAAAGAAACAGGAAGCAGTTGTTTTTTGCATGAGATTCTGCATGATTCAGTCATTGAAGATTATCATTAGTAAACCTTTGGACTAGTACCTAAGCTGATGCCTCCGCTGCCCATATTGCCCAGATGACTGGATCTAGGAGAGGGATGAGTACGAAAAGCAGATCGAAGCATTGAAGAAGAAAGGCCAGCGCAGCAGCGTTCAAGATAAAGAGCAAGAGCAGATGAAGGCTCAAAGCATCTAGGCTAAGAAACAGATGAAACACGTAAACATCGGTGTCAAGGCCTGTCAAGGCACCTGATGGTTTACCTGCTTGAGGATGAAACAACTCGGATAACTTGATTCAGTCTGAATGTGTCCTCCCTGTGTGCGACTGGCCTTTATTCCTTGGCGATCTCCATTTGCCATTCTGCATGCGTGGGACCAACACCCAGTGACATACAGTGACCCTCTGGGAGATCTGTCAGATGATGTCAGATGATGTCAGATGATGTCAGATGATGTCAGAGGATGTCAGATGATGTCAGATGATGTCAGATGATGTCAGATGATGTCAGATGTCTAAGGTATCCTCCACAAGTTCAAGGGCAAACTGGAGACTCAACGTGCACGCGCGCAATGGGTGCGAGCAGCCTTCACCGCCGGGAAGGATGAGCGCTTCGAACTGGACATCCGCATTTCGCGGCAGCAGATGGCAGACCTCCAGCCCCGGATGGTGGAGGCGAACCGCATCGCTGAGGAATTTGGGATCCGGCACCTCCCTTTTGCTGTGGAGGGTGAGGTTGTTGTTTTTGTTGTTTTTTTCCCCCTCCTAAAAAAAAAAACAGTTTCTACAGTTTGAAGTTTGAACAAAACCAACTGTGAAAATGCGATGAAGCCTCACCGTGTGTAACATGTGGCATATGTGGCATCAGGGGCAAACCTTGGCCATGCCACCAAGGGGGACCTTGGTGTGTCGCTGAGGTACAGCTTTCACTTTGTGGATGCAGTGGATCCCAGGTCCCGTCGGGCGACCACCTTCGATGATGCCGGCGATGAGGCGGCAGTGGCACCGAAGCGTTTGTTGCTGCAGATGAAGGTGGACAACGCAGGCAAAGGCAAGGCGCAGTTGCTTGGCGAAGGGCGAATTTTGATGTGAACTTGGCCGCTTACCATGCTTACCATGGTGGATATCCAAGAGATGTGAACAGATGCTGTAGGTTTGGAGAGTTTTGGTGTGTGAAGTGGCTCATTCAAACAGGGCATGGGGTTCAGACAGGTTAGGTACAGAGCTTCTTTGTGACCAACGCAGGTTTTGCAGCTCTTTATAACTGATTTATAACTGATTTATGGATATTTATGGAAATTTGTACTGTGACACTGTGCTGTAGTCGATTCTTGGCCGAGGCTGTGGTCCATACAGAAGTTCAACGATCGCTTCGTAAAGATGTTGGCCTTTGCCGACCGGCCGGCCGGTCAGAGGGTCACGGAGGAGGACAGAGGTTGCAGCAAAAGCAGAACTTTCATTCGACGATGTAAGGTAAGGTAAGTCATGATTAGCGCTAAAAGTAGCTTAAAACCTTGGGACCCCCGTTGAATGCCAACCTTTTGCTGATAGGACAGGGATATCTTCTGGGATGACTTCGAACACCAACTCGTTGGCACGGCAGCCATTGGAGTGACGCCTCTTCTGAAACTGGACCTGGTGCGGGAGTACATCACGCTGAGGGATTTCAGTGGCAACATCACTGGGGCAGTTGAGGTGCGCTTAGTTACGTGAGAAGGACATGTTACCCGGTAACTATGGTAACTGTTACCCCATGGTCCATCATGGTCCTTTTGTCTGCAACATTTTGCCACCATATCATGACATCATGACCCTGTTACAGGTGAGCATGCGAATGGCTTTGAGCTCCAAGCCTTCAATGATGCGCATTAGCACAGCAGCGGGCTCTGGGGTCTTGAAAGACCAAGAGGTTGTTGGCAGTTTGTCCTTCGGCCGTCTCTCCTATGAAAATGCAGAAAGAACCTGGGCCGTGACAGTTTGCAACCTTTTGGGTCCTGCCGCTGCGGAGAGTTTTTTGTTTTGCTTGTCTTTTCAGCTATGGAATCTATGGAAAGGAAGATGAAAGGAGAGTTGGTGGAAATGACTTGGATGTTTTGAGCCGGATGAGGCAAAAACTGGGGCAGCTTCTTCGTTCGCTTCTCGTGGTTTGATACAGATGGGCGCATGGAGCACATGTCTCCAGCATCGCAAGCACAGGATTTGCAGTACACATTTGACTTCAAGCAACTTGGAAAGAAAGCCAACAAGCCAACATAACTTGGAATCATAGGAGGGCTTGGTATCAGGGAAACAGTGTGCTTTAGTACTGCACACCTTCGAGTTTCCACTGAGTTTGCTTCACCCATGGGTTTAAAACCGGCTGTGACATGCTGTGACCAGGCAGGTTTGCACTGGCCCTTTCCTGAAGTTCCTTGAGGAGGGTGTGATGGCCGTCCAGGTCCGAGCATATGACAAGGGAGTTGCTGCGGGTGAGCTGGACATTGTGAAACAGAAATTGAAGTGACTGGGCTGACTGGGCAACAGAAATTCATGAAATTCACGAAATTCACGAAATTCACAATGCTTCACAGTTTCATTGTGTTTCATTCACTATATTTATACTATATACACTTTCACCTTGGCTTGACTGGCACTGAGGCTTGTTTGAGGTAGCCATTGTGGGCCACATTCCAAGTTTGTTTCCCTCTGAGATTTTCCCCCCTTGAAGGGTTGACAGATCCCAGGTTGACAGAAGATGAATTGGATCGCATGAAGAAGCAGGTAGAAGAGGAGAGATCCAGATACCAAGAAGAGCACCTTGGTCAAGCTGTCCTAAAATATGCCCAAGATGTTTTTGCAATTTCTATGTTCAAAAATATCAAATATGATCAAATAATTACCTGTCTAAAACTTGGCCACCTATTCTTATCATCATTTTCCCACCATTTTCCCTATGAAGCATGGATAAAGATATCACCCACCTCACGGGTACTGGGGAAAACTTCCAAGGCTCGAGGAGGCTCAGGAGCGTGTGACGCAAGCCAAAGAAGAGGCCAAGTTCGAAGCTGCCAAGGCTCCTGGCGTTCCTGGCGTTGGGTTTTCTCTGCTCCAAAAAGATGTGGAAAACTGGAAAACCCTCATGGTTCCATTGGAAAAATGATCGGCAAATGGTGGGTTTTCAACAAAAAAAGACTGTTGGTTTACAGGAGGGTAAAGACATGTAAAGACATACCAGAAATAGTGGTTTTATGATGTTTAAGATGGGATCTACGTAAATTTGGGACCACTATAGAATGGGAATTTTTAATATTAGGAAGATGGGTTACGGTTAATCCGTCATTTTTATGATTTGTTAGATCCCTTGGATTATCCGTTGGGCTTTTTGGTCTTATCTATTCAACTTATCATTGCTTATCATTTGGCATGATTTACTGGTATCCTAATCTACCGTGTCTGTGGTATCTACTCTATCTACTATAATTTGACATTGATCCTTCATCAATCATTTGTAGATTACTTAATTACGAAAGCCAGCTGGCTGGCTAGTTGCTGTTTGCGAACGAAGTGAGAATAGGGGGTGTGGGGGGGGTGGTTGCCGAAAGGGAACGAAATCTCGCCGTGCCCCTGTGTTGAGCGCGAGAAAACGGAGCATTTTGCTGGATTATGCAATTTGCTGACGGTGGGGTATCGACTCCCCCTAGGTCCGCCTTTTTGGTGGCCGGAGAGACCATGAGGATGTATTGGAAAATACAATGAAACTGCAGGAAAACATGATAACGATGAGAGGAAATCGTACAAAATCCCCTGGAAAACGGACGAAAACGGAGCGAATGCTAGGAACAAACCATGTAAAATCCCTTGGAAAATGGAGGAAACCGGAGCGAATGCTAGGCGCAAACCATGACGATACAGTAAACATGCTGGGAAAATACAGTGAAAGTGCAGGAAAATGTGATAACAACGAGAGGAAATGGTGCAAAAAGGATCGGAAAATGAAGGAGACAGGTAAAACTCTTGGATTAATATTAATATTGAAAAGGTATGAAAATGCAGGAAACCAGAGGAAATGGTGCAAAAACCTATGGAGGAAAGAGGTGAAAATGATAGGAAACATGTAGTAAAAAAATGCTGGACAAAACATATTGAAAACCCACGAAGAGGATGTATTGGAAAATACAATGAAACTTGAGGAAAACATGATAACGATCAGAGGAAAATGCTAGGAACAAACCATGCAAAATCTGTTGGAACATGGAGGAAACCGGAGTGACTGCTAGGAACAAACTATGACGATGCAGTAAACATGTTGGAAAAAGACAGTGAAAGTGCAGGAAAATGCGACAACAACCGGAGGAAATGGTGCAAAAACGATCGGAAAATGAAGGAGACGGGTAAAACTCTTGGACAAATACATTGAAAATGCAGCAAACCAGAGGAAATGGTGCAAAAAGGAGACGGGTAAAAATCATGGAAAAATAGATTAAACATGCATGAATAGACTGAAAACCCACGAAGAGGATATAGAAACTGCAGGAAAACATGATAACAATCAGAGGAAATCGTGCAAAATCCACTGGAAAATGCTGGAAAGATACAGTGAAGGAAAATGTGATAACAACCAGAATAAAGGGTGCAAAATCTGTTGGAACATGGAGGAAACCGGAGCGACTGCTAGGAACAAACTATGACGATGCAGTAAACATGCTGGAAAAATACAGTGAAAGTGCAGGAAAATGCGATAACAACCAGAGGAAATGGTGCAAAAACGATCGGAAACTGAAGGAGACGGGTAAAACTCTTGGAAAAATATATTGAAAATGCATGAAATGCAGGAAACGAGAGGAAATGGTACAAAAAGCCATAGAGAAAAGCGGTGAAAATGGTAGGAAGCATGTAATAAAAAAAGCTGGACAAAACACAGTGAAACGTACAAAAGAGAAGAAAGTAACCACAGGAAACGGTAGAAAAAGCAGTGGAAACTGGAAGAAAAGTTGTGACAATATTAGGAAAACGGTGTACAAGCTAGGAAATGCTTGTAACAACTAGAGGAGACGATGTAGAAAACAGTACAACATGGAGGACACGTGAGCAATGTAGTTTGGTGATAGGAAATAGTGGCTGACTCGCGTACAAGACATTGCCATGAAACCTTGGAGCAAGATGCGGATGGTATAGGAAAAAAGATGTATGAGTTGTAAGATTTTAGGAGTTGCATGGGAAAATTGGTTTCATGGTAATCTGTGTGAAGCTAGAAAAGTGTGATTTCGTTCACAGAGTAAGAAAAATAAATACAATCTGCAGATTAGAGTATTTATAATGCTTAAAGCTGTTTGACGTTTTTTGGTGCCTCCCTGATTCTGGTAGTTTTGTGATAAGAATTACAAAAACGATCTACTGGTAAACGGAAGGAATAGTCTTTCCGGTTTAGAACTGAGTCGACTGTCAAGTGATGCATAGGCTCCAGGCCTCTGGTTATTGTCACAAAGCATTGGAAACAAGATTGCGCCCAGGAGCCACGTAGGTTAGGAGACAAATGCTGTAATATCATTGTAAGAGGCCGTACTGAGAAGGCTGAAACAGAACTAAAAGTGAATCTTGTACTAAAACATCGAGAAAGATTTTGAATCTTCTAATCGCAATGACGGGAATGATATGCATCTGTACGTCCGTGATAGTATGTGTGCCTTTTAAAAGGGATGTTTGGCGAGTGTGATAGCTGAGAAGATTTTCCGGGATGCCAAACAATTATCTCTATCGATGTCAGGGATGATGCTATTCCGCGACATTTCCTGTAAAATACCTATTTTCCAGACCCTTGGGGGGTGGGGGGGGGTACCCAGGTCTGTAAATGGCCTAAATATATATACTTTTGATTTGGACTGCATGTTCGCCACTGTTCTATATTTCCCGTGGGTTTTGCATTGTTTTCCTCGATTTTCATTCGTTCTTATACCCTTTCTTACGTATGTTATAATATTGTCTTGGGTTTGCACTGCCCATTTTGCGAGTAGAGCTATGTTTTGATTTCTCACCGTACGGCCAAAATGTTGCGGAACTTCGCGGAGAAGCATGGACCACGCTGGGGAGAAAACAATTTAGACTTTGAGAGGTCACATGACCACTGTTCACACAAAAAAGCAAGTATTATTTATCTACAATAGGTGGGAGCAAACTTGCGCTGTTTTAAGATAAATGAGCAACCAAAGGCGGATTTACGGAACTTGAGATAGAACTTTTCACAATGCCGCAGTACATTGTAGGAAACATATTTGGATATAGAAGCTACAAAATCGTGGAGTTTACCCTAAAAAGGTCCATTTAATGATTGGAAAATTATGACCCGATAGCAATTGTTGATGTTGGGGCACTTCATGTTTGAGCCATGCCATATGGATGAGGTGGAGTTTCACGCGCCCCCGCGCGAGTCAAAAAGCAAGCGCTGGCTTTCGTTCCACCCCTTCCCCTTCTCAGGTTGATGTTTGATATGGTATCAGAAAGTGATAATACTTCACAATGTACTGTAAGATAGCGTAAGTATTGTTGGATCATGTTAGATCACATTTTCTCATCCACTGTGTCAGGCCCAAGCAGCTGAAGCTCAGGCGGCCGCGGCGCAAGCGTCGGAATCGGCCACCCCGGGGCCGCCACAGACAGCGCAGCCAGCGCCGGAGCAGGCGGATGGGCCGTGGCAGGACATGCGCTACGCAACGCTCGAGGAAGTCAAGGCTGAGCTCGTGAGGGCCCGGGGTCAGGTCTTCAAAATCCAACATGACACTTGGCTCACTATGGAAAATGATGAAAACATTTGAGTTCTATGGATTTTCATGGATTTCCTACTTTTTTGTTTTGTTGAATTGCTCGATTTATTGCGTTTTTTTCCCCACGTCTTTGTGAAGGGTTCTTGTTTTTGGTTGTGCACTTCCGCCCCGCCTCCCGCCCCGCTCCAGCCCCACTCCCGCCCGCCAGCCGCACACAACTTACTCACGCACAACTTGTCAAACACAACTTGTCCACACACAACTTACTCACACACAACTTGACCACACACAACTTGACCACACACAACATGTCCTCACACAACTTGCTCACACACACAACTTGTCCAAATACAACTTGTCCTCACACAACTTGTCATCACACAACTTGCACACACACACAACTTGTCACACACAACTTGTCAAACACAACTTGTCCACACACAACTTACTCACACAAACTTGACCGCACACAACTTGACCACACAGAACTTGTCCTCACACAACTTGCTCACACACAACTTGTCCACATACAACTTGTCCCCACACAACTTGTCACCACACAACTTGCTCACACACAACTTGTCACCACACAACTTGTCACCACAACTTACTCACACACAACTTGTCCACACACAACTTGCTCACACACAACTTGTCCACACACAACTTGTCACCAGACAACTTACTCTCACACACACACAACTTGTCCACACACAACTTGTCCTCACACAAGTTGTCACCACACAACTTGCTCACACACAACTTGTCACTTTTACTTTGCGTGGCAGGCGCGGCGCTTGGCGACATCAACCTGCACTTTGCGTGGCAGGCGTGGCACTTGGCGACATCTGCCTCCTCTTTGCGTGGCAGGCGTGGCACTTGGTGACATGGACGTGCACTTTGCGTGGCAAGCGTGGCACTTACGGCACTGGACTGGCTCTGGTGGCGCGTGGCACTTATGGCACTGGGCTGGCTCTGGTGGCGCGCTTGGTTCCCAGTTGACGTCGTTGTCGCCGCGGCTGTTGGCGTGGCAGGCGTGGCAGGCGTGGCACTTGGCGACATGGACTGTCAGTTTGCGTGGCAGGCGTGGCACTTGGCGACATTGATCGTCACTTTGCGTGGCAGGCGTGAAACTTATAGCGCTGGGATGGTTCTTGTTGCGCGCTTGGTTGCCGTTTGACGCCGTTGTCGTCGCGGCTGTTGGCGTGGCAGGTGTGGCACTTGGCGGCATGGACCGTCTGTTTGTGTGGCAGGCGTGGCACTTGTCGACATGGATCGTCGCTTTGCGTGGCAGGCATGGCACTGATGGCGCAGGGCTGTCTCTGGTGGCGCACTTGGTTCCCAGTTGACGCTGTTGTCGCCGCGGCTGTTGATGTGTCAGGCGTGGCTCTTGGCGACGTGGACGTGCACTTTGCGTGGCAGGCGTGGCACTTATGGCATTGGGCTGGCTCTGGTGGCGCGCTTGGTTCCCAGTTGACGCCGTTGTCGCCGCGGCTGTTGGCGTGGCATGCGTGGCACTTGGCGACATCAACTTTGACTTTGCATGGCAGGCGTGGCACTTGGCGACATCGACCTTCACTTTGCGGGGCAGGCGTGGCACTTGGCGACATCAACTTTGACTTTGCGTGGCAGGCGTGGCACTTAGCAACATCGACCTCCACTTTGCGCGGCAGGCGTGGCACTTGGCGACATCGACCTGCATTCTGCGTGGCAGCCGTGGTGCTTGGTGACATCGACCTTCACTTTGCGTGGCAGGTGTGGTGCTTATGGCACTAGTCTGGCTCTGGTGGCTTGTCACACACAACTCTTACACAAGTTTGTCGCACATTTCTTTCACACGCATTTTTGTCACACACAACTTTGTCACACAAAACTCTTCCACACAACTTTGTCACGCACAACTCTCTCACACACACATGCGCACACGCAACTTTGTCACACACAACTCTTTCACACACGACTCTTTCACACACAATCTTTTACACATAACTTTGTCACATACAACTCTTTCACGCACAACACTTTTACATACACAAACTTGCGCACACACATACACACACAACACTGTCGCACACAGCTCTTGCACCCAACCAGTCTTGCACCATCTCCTTTCCTTCCTGCCTTTCCCATCTCATTTTCACATCTGCTTGGTGATCATTGGAAGAAGTTGATTTGTGGGGTTATCCGGTCCTTTAATTTGGTGACATGCTTGAATTTTTTGGGCCTGAGATGGTCCGCCAATGCTTTCAGTATCTCTCAGCACCGCATCCGGCAACTTGCAATGGTTGGCTATGCCACCTGAGGACAAGGATGATTTAAAAGAAAAGTTGCAAAGTTTGCAGGGCAACACGGGACGTGCGCGGCAACCAGCTGATGGAGAGTTTCGACATACGGACATGGAACAAGCGCATCAGCACATCCTCTACTTGGAGACCAAGGTCCGAGCAATGGAGGAACTGGACTCTGGGCGGAACAGCGGGAAGTGGGCCCCAATTTTGAGATGGAGCCGCCAAGGCGTCCAGATAGTGTTTGGCCCAGATCTGGGGGATGTAACTTTGTTTATTCTGCCCAATACTACCAACGCTAAGGAGAAAAGAAATGAAACTTTGCAAAGGCAAGTGAGGGACCTGCAGAAGGAAAAGCAGCAGCAGCAAGGAGGTTGTGAGATCTCCTAAGTTTACGCCGCGGTCAGCATTGTTTCACCAGAGGGTCGGTGCCAACAGGGCACAACGGGGCGCACGGGGCACAACGGCGTAGCAGGATTTCCGCTGAAAGCGAGCTGGAGCTTCGCTTGCTTCTGTCTCAGTGACCCATCAGAAATTCGCACCAAAAAATCATCCAAAAAATGTATGTATTTTTGGATTCATCTCCAACCGGCTCGGAATCTTGATTTTTTTTTGTATTTCTAGAGGCTTTTCCTATTCAAATTATTTGGAAGATCTTCTTCTTGGAATATATGATGGCGAAGACAACGGAGATAGGTAAAATAAGAATTGGAAAATATTATTGAATGACATATATACATATATATATATATATGTGGGGGGGACCTTTGGGGTATATTTCGTCCGTTCCATGAGAACTATCATATGTGCGATTTACAGTTCGGTTTATTTACAGGCATGTGCATAACAGCGCCCTGGGAATGTATTAACCATTGTAGATGTACTCGAGGAGGTAAAATACATTGTAAATAGACATCGTTTCTACTAATAAGTGTTCATTTTGCTGCTGCTAAATTTCTGTCCTGAAATCAAGTAAGATAATCGAAGTACCCATAATCTTCTTTTCTGCATCTACCTGCCACAGAGAAGTGACGACTATGTTGCCCTACATACTGATTCTCTTGTCGCAGCTTCTGTAACTGCGTCTTGTTCTGTTTGTTTCATGTTTGTTCTGTTCGTTTTCCCCACCAGTCAGGTGAGGGTTGTTAGATTTTATGTTAGCCAGTCCGCCCTCTTCCTCCTCCTTCCTCCTCCTTCCTCCTCCTTCCTCCTCCTTCGTCCGCCGGACCCCAACAGCAACCTCCGGATCAGAGCGTTCCCCGCCAGACCTCCACCGCGAGCTCCGGATCAGAGTGTTCCCCGCCGGGCCTCAACCACAAAGAAACTCCGAAGACATAATACCAGATAAAATGCCAGAAAGAATTTTGGAAGCTATTCCAGATACAAATGCCAGAAAAGATGTCAGATAGAATGCCAGAATAGAATGTCAGAAAATATATGCCACATATCTGGGCAGTTTACAATAATTCGCACCTCGTCACCTCGTCGTTAATTCGCATGTGTGACGTTTCATCGCGCCTCGTTAATTCTACTTTTGGGAATTACTGGGCGCGTTCCTTTACCTAACACATCACGGTGGCGCTCTCTAAAAAAAAAAGGTATAAAATTGTACTTTTCAGAGGCTGAAAGTTTTTTCTGGTTGGTTGGTCGCAGTTACAATGCTTCTCTCCGGTCCCGATGGGAAAAAACTTTTCAGCAATTTCAGCCTGTGATTTTTTTTTGCATATTTCTTCGGCCACAGCATTTGGCTGAGGGCTATGGAGCATTGCACTAGCGTGCCATGGCTTTGCGAGTGCTGGTGCGGTCACACTTGGGAGTGCTTTAAGTCCCCTGATGCCCCCTTTGGGGATGTTCCCTGTGGAACGTTGGGGATGTTCCCTGTAGCAGGAAGGATGCCATCCATCTTGCAAAGCATACTCATCCAGAATGGTGCTGTGGGGGTATCAGGGGACTTAAAACACTCCCAAGTGTGACTGTACCAGCATTCAGAAAGCCATGGTACGTGGCGGAAGAAATATGCGCAAAAAAAAGCAGGCTGAAATATTTTTTTATTCTCGGGACCTGATAAAAGCATTGCAACTGCGACCAACCAACCAGAAAAAAAAAATCAGACTCTGAAAAATTATTTTTGGTCTATCATCCACTCCAAAAGTAAGCCAAGGCATCACGTCGTGGGAAGTGAATTAGTCAATTTATCTCATTAATTTTCTAAATCTACCTGGCACCTCGGCTGACCTCGCTCTAAATTTTGCAGA